TAGCTATTGCTTATCATGCTAATAATAAAGTTAATATATATTAAGTCATTAAACTTGAATTTGAGTACTAATATATGAATATAATACTTACAAAGTTAAATCCTGTAAATTGTTATTAGTAAGTTTAAGTTTAAATATGAAACTCTATATAAAATTCGAATTTCATAAATGATAAAAATATGATTTATTTAATATTTTATAAAAAACCTTCTGTAAATAAAAAATATTATTTAATTGAGTGAAGAAAAAATATTAATAGATTTCATATTTTTTTTAAGAAATACCAATTTGTTCAAAAAATCTGAATCAAGTCTATTACGCTTATCTGTTACATGATTTCCAGTATCAGAAAATAGGTGCTCTGATAGTACAGAAGATGCCAGCACTACAAGATATCTTCTTGCTAAAATCACTATAGTAGGAAAGAAGGTATTATGTTTACACCACCATTCTAAAGGACAAGGTTTTTCGTTAAGAGCAATTAAGGAGAGTTTACAATATCAGTCAAATTCATTAGGCTCAACATTAGAGTTTTCTGTATGCAAATGCATAAAAAATGCTGATATCTTGGTTTTTTTATATTGATATGAAGATGTTAAAGATGGATTATTATCATTAGTTGATGTTAGATTATCATTGGAGGTTTGTATTGGACATAGCTCATTAAATTGTTGATGCATATTCTGAATAGTTGTATGCCATAAAGCACTAGTGCAGAAATTTAACTTTTTAAAACATGGATCGAGGAAGGAGCAGCACATGCCTATTTCATTTGGATCACCCTACCATTCAATTAAATTGTCTAAAATTATATCTTTAACAAGAATTGCCATACTATTTTGTTCAATAAAATATCTAAGCTGATGAGCAAGTTTTTTCAAAATTGGTGTCATGAAACCCAGTGTTGGATACTTCGATCTACTTAAAAATTGAGTGGCTTCATCAAAAGGGGAAAGAACTTCAATAAGTTCTTCTAATAATTTAAATTCTTCCAAAGAGGGAATATAAAGGCCCATGGTTTCTGCTCCTTTTTTGACCTCCCTAATTGTATGGTTAGTAAGAGTTGAGTATAATTGTATGATAGCAGGTTTTAAATATACAAGACATTCAATAGCATAAAGAGTAGAATTCCAATATGTATTCACATCTTTAATAACATTAAGTAACTCTTTAAGCCTTGGAGTAATCTGTAATTAAGCTTCACAAAGTTGTCTATGTTTTTTTTCTTTTGATAAAATTGAGATAAGTGCTTTACATTTTGAAATGATTTCATCAACTTCCTTTAAACCTAAATTGACACTCAATTGAAGCATATGCCCAGCACATTTCACATTAGAAATACCCATTTGTTGCACTGCAGACCTGACATTGGATCCATTATCAGTAGTAATAGAAAAAACATTTTGACAATTAATTTTAAATTTATTAATAACAGAATTAACAGATTCAACAATATCAAATGCATGATGTTTATCCAACTCTTTAATGTCAAGTATGATCTTGTGCAAATCAAATGAATCTGTAAGCTAGTGGCAAGTGATTTCAAGATAGCTATCATGTGCTCACGATGACCAAAGATCAAAGATTAAAGAAACAGTATCTGATGTCTTCAAAATAAGATTTATAATTTGATTTATTGCAGAATCATAGAAGTTAAATGTAATGGTTTTAATAGTATTAACACATAGAACTTTAAATCAGGGATCGAGATTTTTTGTCCAAAGCCTAAAATCATCATCATCAACAATAAAAATAGGCTAAGCATATGCAAATATGTAGCATACAAGTTGATATATAAGCTTTTTTTGAATATGAAAAAAATGAGGTCTTGAAATTACTTGGTAAATCGTTTGTTGCTTTGCTTTTACTAATGTATTTTTAAGTAATTCTTTGGTGATTTGGTGTATATCATGAAGATGGGTTATACAATTACTAGTTAATCCTAGCCATATATATTCTGTATCGCAATCTTCAAATTTACAAGAAACCTTTTCTACTTCTACTTCATTATTATCTAATAATTCCAATGCAGTATATCTTTCAAAAAACTTCCAAACAAAACTACCAGGTGTTTTCATTTTTTTTTTTTTTAATAACCTTTGTATTTTGAGTAGACAAAGCCAAGGTAGATAAAGCTAAAGTAGATGTAGATGTTGAAGCTAATAATTCGACATCACTTTCTTCATCTTGGCCAGATGAAAAATTAAATTCATTATCAGAATCATTCATTATAAACCTTTTACAATATATAACCAAATAGCAAAACCTCTTCCTCTCTTTATTATTACCCTTTTATACTATTGAACATTCAATTTTTGGTGTTTAAGATACTTACATATTACAAATCATAAAACCAAGAAAACAAGTTCTATACAAGTTAATATCTAGGCTTAAATCGATATGATTTTTATCAATATAAGCAAATTGATTATTAATGTTAATATATTTTTCTTCATATTATAATTTATTAATGCTAATTCATGTAATTTATTTAACTGCATATTCACCTGGTTTGAATTATATAAAAACCAATTAATATCATAAGAATGAACTAGTAGGTTTTATCATATGGCATGTCCATTTGTATCATCCTTTTCTTTACTAATAACAACCAATCTTTAATTCGCATGTTGGTTATGAGAATGACAAAATAAAAAAAATTTTCAATAGCTTTTATTGAAAAAACCTCTCCTAGTTTTTTTTCCTTTTTATACTATTTACTAAATTTAATAAAAATCATGTGAAATTATATGTATGTTAAATAAGCTCATGCAAAATTATATATATTATCATAAGCTTATGCGAAATCATATATAGTGTACATAAACTATGCACATGTTAACTTTCATTATTCTAACTAATTGCCGATTAAGACCATATAATACAATTACTTCATATGTATGTACGTATGTATGTACGTAAAAATTTAAAAACTTCAATATCTCTATAACAAGTGGCATACCAAAAATAAATTTCCTAAATTTTTGATCTCATAAGCAAAGGGACTAGAACTCACAATCTCTTTGCATAAAAACAATAAGCAAAGAACAATATGAACATAATAGCATGTTTTAGTTTATCTCTAATAAGTTAGTTTAGATCTACTGCACTGTACATACATACATATATACATGTTATTCTTTTTTAATATATAACTATTAAAAATTATTTAGTTGATTAATATAAATAATAGTTAGTTGGCAACTAGTTGACAAC